GCAACCCCGCGGACCTGTTCCACTGGCTGCCCAAGGAGCACATGTGTGTGCTGGTCTACCTGGTGAGGGCTGCTCATTAGCGCTGCTGATTAATTTGCAGTGGGCGGGGCTGGAGCCGTTTGTACCCCAGGGGAGGCTGGGGGAGAGTCCAGGCTGGAAATGGGGATCAACTCATTAATTACTAATTAATTTATTAATTACTACCTGACTCAAATGGAAACGGAGTTATTTGTACAAACCAGAGCCACTTTGGTTTAATTTATCAGCAGTTTGCAGCCCAGCCTTTGTGGGGTGATGCTGACAATCCTTGCTGTGCTTCCCTGCAGGTGACAGGGATGCATTCCATGCATGATAATTAATACTATAACAATAATAATTGTTACTAATTAATTAATAAATTAATGGTTGCTGTGGTTTCCTGCAGGTGACAGTGATGCATTCCATGCAGGCAGGATAATTAATACTGTAGCAATAATAATTGTTACTAATTAATTAATAAATTAATGGTTGCTGTGGTTCCCTGCAGGTGACAGGGATGCATTCCATGCAGGATAATTAATACTGTATCAATAATAATTGTTACTAATTAATTAATAAGTTAATGGTTGCTGTGGTTCCGTGCAGGTGACAGTGATGCATTCCATGCAGGCAGGGTACCTGGAGAAGGCTCAGAAATACACGGACAAAGCTCTCATGCAGCTGGAGAAGCTCAAAAGTAAGGAAAAAAGGGCTGGAATTCAGCTGGATTCCAGGAAAACCCAGGGAAAATCCCTTTATTTATTCCTGATTTCAGCCCATCCTGCAGCTTTGTTGAGCTGCTGGGGCAGCCTCAGACTAAAACTAAGATTAAAACCCTGATTTTAATGCTGGGTGGTGGCTTTGGAGTACAAAAATCAACTTTTTTTGGTTGTTTTTTAAATGGGATTTGAAACATTCCTGAAGTCCCTGATGGAATTCCTGCTGTTCCTTCCCCAGTGCTGGACTGCAGCCCCATCCTGTCCTCATTCCAAGTGATTCTCCTGGAACACATCATCATGTGCAGGCTGGTGACAGGACACAAAGCCACGGCCCTGCAGGAGGTAACGTGGGAATTCCAGCATTTCCTGGCTGGGAATGGCTCCCAAAAAATCGGGAATATTCTGCAGGAGCAGCCTTGAAAACATGGGAATTCCTGCTGGATTCTTCATGGATTCAGCCAGGCTTGGTGGTGCTCAGGATTTGGAAAATGTGGAATTGGCTCCTTTTAAATATTTCTGTAAGGACACTTTGGAATTGATCATGGCGTGATCAATAATTGATTCCATTGGCACCTTCCTGGTGGGAATTCCAGGCTGATCCTGGTGGTTTTCTCCCATTCCATCCATTCCAGAGTGGCTCCTTCTTACCCAGGGGTTTCCCAGTTTTTAACATTCCTGCTTTTCCTCCACTTTCCTGCTTGATTTGTGTTGTTCCAGAGGAAACTGGAATTTTTTTTTCCCCATTTTTTCCCAATAATTTAAAAATCCTGGGGCTGGCTCATCCAATCCCAGCTTTCCTGGGAATGTGCTGGGAATGGGGATGGATTCAACCTCCTGCTTCTGTCTCCTGAAACTCATCCCAATCCCAGGTTTTGGAAGGATTTATCCCACTTTTCCTGGGAAACTGAATTCCAGAGGGTGGAGGGAACCATTCCAAGCCAGCAGGAATGTGGGAGGAATGTGAGGAAATCCCTGGAAGCACACCCAGCCTCTCCTCCTGTCCTGGAGCCAATCCCTGGGGCGCAAGGAGGGGGTTTGGAGCAGGAAACAGTGGGAAAAGTGTCAAAAATGGGGAATTCTGTTCTTTTTCCCAGATTTCCCAGGTGTGCCAGCTGTGCCAGCAGTCTCCCAGGCTCTTTTCCAACCACGCTGCCCAGCTGCACACGCTCCTGGTGAGTTTGTGGGGATAAAACCTGGGAATTCCATGGAGGAGATTCCCTGGGAATTCCAGGATTTGCATCATCCCCTGCCGGGGCTGCTCATCCCTGGCTGGAAACCCTTTGGGAAAAGAATTCCAGGATGGTTTGGGTGGGTGCACAGGGACACTCCCCACTACCCCGGGTTATTCCAGCAACTCCTGCTTTGCTGGAGAGGAAAAATCCCATTTTTCTGTGGAGAAAATCCCTGGGATTTGGATTTTCCTGGAGATTTTTTTCCGTGGCAGCAGCTCCTTTATGAAGGGAGTGGGAATTTGGGAAGAATCAGCTGGAAAAATGGGAATTCCAGGAATTTCAACTGTGCCCACTGGAGATGGTTTTTTTTGTGGGAATTGTGGAAGGGGATGAAGTTTTGTAGGGAATTTCAGTTTTCCATGATTTTAAGGAAGACTTCTTAGCTAAATTAAGGTTTCTTTTCTTTCCCAAGAATAATTTAATTTAGAGGACATTTTGTAGAAATTCTTGATTTTCCCCACACTTGAGACTCATTGGTCCTTTTTTCCAGCTGTAATCCCAATATTTCCATGGATTTGGGGATATTTTGGGCTGAATTCCCAAAAATATCTTTTCTTTTCCAGGGCCTGTACTGCATCTCTGTCAACTGCATGGACAATGCAGAAGCACAATTCACTACAGCACTGAGGGTGAGATTTCATTCCCAGATTTTCTTCTGGAACAACGGGAATGGTTCTTAGGGCTGGCAATGGGAATTTGGAATGGAGAAATTCCTTAATTCCATTTTTTATTAACCATTTTCCTTGGATTTGGGAGGGATTTACGACATTAAATATCAAGATACGATTTTTTTTTTTTTTTTTTTTTTAACCAGAATTTTTTGGTGGGACTGAACAAACCCTGTGGGAAATACTCCCAAATATTCCTGAAAATATTTTGGGATTTTCTTTCTTGCAGCTCACAACCCACCAGGAGCTGTGGGCGTTTATTGTCACCAACCTGGCCAGCGTCTACATCCGGGAGGGCAATCGGCACCAGGAGGTGAGAAAGCCCCACAAAATCCCTCGGATTTGGCCTTTCCTGGGCTTTTCTTGTCACCAGGGCAGTGGGAATTCCTGAGGAATCAGCTGGAAAACTCCAAAAGTCCTGGGTTATTCCCAGAATATGTCTTGTCAAATCCTTTTTTTTTTTTTCCTGTGGAGAAAATCCCTGGGATTTGGCTTTTCCTGGGGATTTTTGTCATCAGGGCCTTGCTGGCAGCATCTTATTCATCAGGGGAGTGAAAAATCCCAATTTTCTGTGGAGAAAATTCCTGAAATTTGGCTTTTCCTGGGCATTTTTTCCATCCAGGCCTTGTTGGCAGCAGTTCCTTCATCAGGGGAGTGAAAAATCCCAATTTTCTGTGGAGAAAATTCCTGAAATTTGGCTTTTCCTGGGCATTTTTGCCACCAGGGCCTTCCTCAATCAGGGGACTGGGAATTGCTGAGAAATCAGCTGGAAAACTCCAAATATTTGGAATTATTCCCAGAATTCTTCCCATGGGAATGGGGTTTAACTTTCTCATTTCTTATTCAACCCCTTGGCTTCATTTTCCATCATTTTCCATCCATTTTCCATATCCAGGAGTTTCAGGGAATCCAGAAATAATCAAAAATTGGGATCTGCTCCTGAATTTTGCTGTTTTATTCCCAAAATTCCCCATTTTTCACCCTCTCAGGGATTTGCCTCTGGAAGATTCTCCACAGGAATTTCGCTCCCTGCACAAAAAAACTTGGGAAAAACCCTTGGGAAGCAAAAAAAAAAAAAAAAAATTAAAACCTGTAAATTCTTTAATTTAATTCTGGCTTTAATTAATCAAATCTGATATAAAATTCATTATCAGATCTACCAGCTCCAAGTTTTCTGTGGGAATATGATTATTATCCAGGAAATCTTGTGGAATTGGAGGAGATTTGGGACAAAACTTAATTTTTGGGATCAAAACGAGCCTAAAATTCCCAAGGTTGGGATAAATTTGGGCGGGCTCGGGTGGAATTTCACTGTTTTGGTGTTGATTTTCCCTTGGAAAAATCCATTTTTCCCCATAATAATTTCCTTTTCCCTCTCCCATTTTCCAGCTCTACAGTTTATTGGAAAGGATAAATCCCGACCACAACTTCCCAGTGAGGTGAGAACTCCCAAGAAATCCCAACATCCCTGGAATTTGCAGCAGGATTTTCAGCAAATGGAGGGTGGGGGGAAAAGAAAAATAAATCCAGTTGAATTCCAAGAGATGGGGATTAACTGGAATATTTTGGTTGGAAGTTGGATTTTGGGGTGGGATTGCTGGAATGGGGGTGGGATTTTTGTGTTTCCAGGTTTTTTTTCATTTTTCCATGTTTTTTCCCCAGTTCCCACTGTCTCCGGGCTGCAGCCTTTTACATCCGAGGCCTTTTCTCCTTTTTCCAGGGAAGATACAACGAGGCCAAGTGAGTCCAAAGCCCTTGGAAAAGTGGGAAAACTGCAGGGAAACTCAGCCCAGCTCTTTTTTTGGGATCAAGATGGGAATTCCAATTCAAATTCCATCCAATTCCTGCGGATTTCTCCTGGATTTGCCAGGGGGAGTTGATTCCTTGGAAATAGTTTCCTGAAATCCCAAAGAATTCTGGAAATATTCTTCCCTGAAATTTTGGGATCTTACTCCCTGAATTTTGGGATTTTATTCCCTTCAATCCCAGGGAATCCTTGGGAATTCTGGGATCTTATTCCCTGCAAGATCGTTGGGAATTTTAAGAATGTTATTCCCTGCTATCCCTGGGAATCCTTGAGAATCTTGGAATTTTATTCCCTGGACTCCTTGGGAATTTTGGGCATTTTATTCCCTTCAATTCCAGGGAATCCTTGGGGTCTCATTCCCTGCACTCCCAAAGAATCCCTGGGAATCTCGGGAATGTTATTCCCTGGAATCCCTGGGAATCCTTGGGAGTCTCGGGCCTCTCATTCTTTCCACCCCAATTCCCAGAGAAAACTCAGGAATTCTTTTCATTTAAATCCACTCCTCCCAACTCCTGCCGTTCAATCCATCCAGGAATTCTCCCAGGACATTCCATGGTGTTCAAATCCCAACTTTTCCCGTTTTTTTTTCCCATTTTCCCAGGCGTTTTTTGCGGGAGACGCTGAAGATGTCGAACGCCGAGGACCTGAACCGCCTGACCGCCTGCTCCCTGGTGCTGCTGGGCCACATCTTCTACGTGCTGGGCAACCACAGGGTAACCCCAGATCCTCCCAGTCCCTGGCATTCCCCGAGCTGGCATTCCCAGGAAAAATCCCAGCAAAAATCCCCGAGAAAATCCCAAAGAAAATCCCCGTGGGAATCGGGATCCGGGTGAACACAATGGGATTTCTGAGTGGATTTTCAGTGTTCTCGCGTTAAAATTCTGGATTTTCTTTTTCGTTTTGGATCATCCCAATCCCTGGAATCCCGGAATGGACATTCCCAGGAAAAATCCCCGAGGAAATCCCCGAGGAAATCAGGATATGAGTGGCAATAATGGGATTTCTGAGTCGTTTTTTTAGTGCTGTCACATCAAGAGTTGGGAATTTCTTCTTCATTTTGGATGAGCCAAATCCCTCCCAATCCTTGGGATCCTGGAATTGGCATTCCCAGAAAAAAAAAATTCCTGAGAAAATCGGGATATGGGTGGCAATAACGAGTTATTTGAAGTGATTTTTCTTGGGAGTCTCATTCCCTACAATCCCAGGGAATTCTTGGGAATTTGGGGATTTTATTCCCTGCAATCCTAAGGAACTTTGGGATTTTATTCCCTAAAATCCCAGGGAATCCTTGGGAATTTGGGGATTTTATTCTCTGGAATCCTAAAGAATTCTTGGGAATTCTGGGATTTTATTCTTTTCCATCCCAGTGAATTCCTGTGATTTTATTCCCTTCCACACCAAGGATTCCTTGGGAATTTTGGGATTTTTCTCCCTTCAACCCCAAGGCCTCAAAAATCTTCAAAAAATCAAAATTTCCCACTTCAAATTCCCATCTTTTCCAGTCCATCCATAGCAGAATGGCAGCAAAAATTCCCTAAAATCCCAAATTTTCCTATTTTTTTTTCTTTTTTTTAGGAAAGTAACAACATGGTGGTGCCAGCCATGCAGTTGGCCAGCAAGATCCCAGACATGTCCGTGCAGCTCTGGTCCTCTGCTCTGCTCCGGGGTAATTCGGGATCTGGGATCGTCCTGGAAAATTGGGAATTCCAGGGAAAACGTGGGGGGTTGGAATGTGCAGCTCCGGGGATAACTCAGGATCAGGAATTGTCCTGGAAAAATGGGAATTGGAGAGAAAAACCTGGAGATTCTCCTAAGGGTGGGAATTTGCTGCATCCAGGAGTTGGGAGGAATCAGGGCAGAATTGGGGAATTGCGTGGAGGTTTTTGGGGCAGATTTTCCCTGGAATTGAGGTGATCCTGGGTTTCCAGGGAGGTTTTTTGGGTTTTTATTTTTGTGTGTTCGGTGTTTTGCAGACCTGAACAAGGCGTGTGGCAACGCCATGGATGCCCACGAGGCCGCCCAGATGCACCAGAACTTCTCGCAGCAGCTGCTGCAGGATCACATCGAGGCCTGCAGCCTCCCCGAGCACAACCTGATCACGGTCAGGGAAAGCCGGGAAAACCGGGAAAAACCGGGAATTCCGGGGGGGAAACCCCGGGAAAAACCGGGAATTCCGGGGGGGGGAAACCCGGGACAAACCGGGAATTCCACGGGGGGGAAAACCCGGGAAAAACCCGGAATTCCACGGGGGGGGAAAACCCCGAGAAAAACCCGCAATTGCAGGGGGAAAAACCGGGAAAATCCCACAAAATTCCAAGGGGGAAAAAACCCGCAATTCCAGCGGGGAAAAATCCCACAATTCCGGGGGGGGGAAATCCCGGGAAAAACCCGCAATTCCTGAGGGTAAAATCTTGGAAAGATCCTGCAAAACTCCAGAGGGGAAAACGATCCCTGGGTTCCCTGGTGTGGGATTGCCTTGGTGGGGTTGGGGGATTTGGGGGGGATTTGGTGGAGAACTGGAATGGATTTATGGAATTTGGGGGGGAATTCCTGGGAATTTTTCCCGGGATCCTGATCCCGTTTTTTTTTCCCTTGCAGTGGACGGATGGGCCCCCCCCAGTCCAGTTCCAGGCCCAGAACGGCCCCACCACCAGCCTGGCCAGTCTGCTGTGAGAGCCTGGAAAACCCAGGAAAACCCAGGAAAACCCCAGGAAAACCCAGGAAAACCCCGGGATAACCTGGAAAACCCCAGGAAAACCCCAGGATAACCTGGAAAACCCCAGGATAACCTGGAAAACCCCAGGATATCCACCAACAACAACATGGGGGGGGGGAAACAACAACAACAACCCGCCAAAAACTTGGGAAAAGAAGCAAAGAAAATTCCATGGAAAAGCTTCAGAATTCCCTCTGGTAGTGAGAGAAAAATCAGGAATTTTCCAGGGATTTTCCAGAGCCTCTGGGGCTGCTTTTCCAGGTGAATCCCAAGGTTTGGGAATTGCTGAAGCTCCTAATCCTCGGGGATGAGGAAATCATGGATTGGGATTCCCAGCTGGAATTCCCTGAGAGGAAATTCCCTTTTTTTGGGAAGGAGGAATTCCAGGATTTCCTGGAATATCCCTCCCAACAACCACAGCTTTCCCCACACATTTCAGGATTGGGAAAAAAAAAAAAATCGGGAATTTTCCTGTTGATCCCAATTTTTTCCAGCCTGAGGGAAATTCCCAAAGCCAGGATTCCCAAACCTTGGGATGAAATTCCAATTCCAGAGGTTTGGGATGAAATTCCATCCTTGCCCTCAGCACAAAATTCCCAAGTTTTTTCCCAGTTTTCTTTTTCCCCAAGTTAAATTCCTTGGTTTTAGTCCTTTGTTTTGTTGTTTGGATTTTCCAGCTGAGTTCTCCCAGAAAAAAGCTGGAAGTTTTTCCAAGATTCCAGCAGTGCCTGGGGCAGAATCGAGTTGTTTTTCCCAGTTGGAACTGCTCCAGATTTTTGGGAAAAGAGGAGGGGAAAAAAACCCCTGGAATTCTCAGAGAGAGGAAAATTCCGAAGTTCCAAACTCCTGGAACTTCTAGAGATTTGGGGGAATTTTTTATCCCACCTGGATAGGAAGGAATTCCCTTAAAATTCCCCGATCCAAGTAATTTTTCCTTCCCAAATCCCATCTTTTTCTGGAGCAAGGACATTTTTTCCACCCAAATTCCTCAGTTTTTCCCTCTGGAATTCACTGCAGGGATGAGGGTTTTTTTAATCCCATTCCCCAAAAAATTTGGATTTTCCATTTTTTTTTTCCCCCGTGGAAATCCCAATCCTAAATCTCCTGGAAAACTCTAAAGGAGCTGGAAATCCCTGAAATTTTGGAGGATTGAGGATTGGGAGTTTTTATTTTGGATTTTTTTGGGGATTAAGGAAAACTCTTGGTGCCGTTGGGGAAAAAAAAAATCCCAAAAAAATTCCCAAAATTTCCAGCTTGAATCCAGGGCTGGAATTCCTGTGGGAACTCCCGACTTCCCTGGATCCCGATTTTTTTTTTTTTTTTTTTTCTGGTATATTTGGGGATCCCACTGGGACAGAACCATCCCAGGAATTTTGGGAATTTGGGATTTTGATCAGGAATGTTGATCCCCATGGAGAATTGGGGGAATTTTCCCAATTTCTGAATTTTTTGGGAAGCACATTCCCAGTTTTTTCTGGAATCCCCTGGGATGCAACAATTCCTTGGAATCTTTTTCCTTGGAATTTTCCTGGCTTGGGAAAGTCTGAAATTCTCAAATCTCATCCAGGAAAATCCAAATATTCCCTTCAAACTCCAGAATAATCTGGAATATTCTGGAATTTCAGGCCCAACTCGGCTCCAGCTTGAAATTTTGGGATCAAATTCCCAAATTTTGGGCTGGAAAATCCGTGGGATGATCCCAGTCCCAAGGCAGGGACACTTCCACTATCCAAGGCCACTTCCAGGGTGGCCAAATCCTGAAAAATTGAGGAATAAAAAACTGGAAAAAAAATTGGGAAAAATTGAGAAAAAAAATCCCAAATTTGGAGAGGTGTGGTTGGAGCTGAACTTGGGAATTCCAGGGAATTCTCCAGCAATTCCTGTGGGAAAGAAAACCAAAACAACAAAAAAACCTTTCCCAACCCTCTGGAGACGCCGAGGAAGGAGCAGAATTCCCCAAAATTCCCAATTTTTTCCGCCTTCAATCTGCCAGAAAAAATCCACGAAAAATCAGTGCAGGAGCTGGAAAATCCCTTTGGAATTCCCGGGGGGGGGCTGGGGCTCCCGAGGGCTCCTTGGAATTCCCAAATTCCCGGTGGGAATTCCCGGGCCAATGTACAGAGCTTTTTACCATTGTATATTAAATTATTTAATAGCTTTTTTTTGGAGCTTTTCCTTTTTTATTTTATTTTTTTAAATTTTTTTTAACGGAGCAGAACTGAAGTTTTTTGGGATTTTCTCAGAAGTTGCTCTGGGTTGGTTTCATTGGAGCTTTTCCTCCTAAAATCTTGGAATTCTGTGGAGAAATGATCACAAAATCCGTAAGAATGGAAATTACTTAGGGAACTGTAGAGGTTTTTTATTCCAGGATTTCTCCCTAAAACTCCCATCCCTGCTGTAGACGGTGGAAAAAATAAATTTTCCCTCTGGATCCCGTTCCTGACAGCAGGAATCTCCCAGGCAAGCCAGGAATTGGGAATTGCAAAAAAAAAGAAAATCCCCCTAAAATCCCCAAAAAATCATCCCAAAAATAAAAAAAACCCAAATCCTGCACAATTCCGCAAAAAAATCCCCCCAAAACTTCCCCAAAATCCCCCCAATATTCCTAAAAGTTCCTCAAAATATCACCCGGAATTCCAGAAAAATCACCCCAAAATTCCCAGAAATTCCACTAAAAATCCCCAAAGATCCCTCCAAAATTCCCAAAAAATCCCCTAAAGGTTCCCCAAAAAATCCCCAAATTCCAATTTTCTCCTGCCCACTCAGCTGAGGAATTCCAGGAATTCCTGCCCCCCATTCCCGGCAGGAATTGTGCAGAAATCCGGGATGAATTCCTTCCCTTTAATCCCAGAAATTCCCAACCTTTTCCCGGTGTTTTTGGGCCCTGCTGGAATTCCAGGAATCCCTGGAATTTTCTGGATCCGGGATTATCCCGAGGCCCCTCTGGATTTTCTATATTAGAAGGATATTCAAATAAAAGTGGAATTTTATTTCTTCTACAGCAGAATTCCTTCCATTTTCCCCGGATTTCCCGCTTGGAATGGCTGCTCTGGAAATCTGGGATAATTCAGGATTTTAGGGATGCGTCCAACACCTGCAATTGGGGTTTTATTCCCAGGCCAGAATTGTTTTTCATGGATTTGACTCTTGTTTCATTTCCATGGAAAATTCCTCCTTTTGCTCCCAGATTTTCCAGCAGCTTTGCCTTTAAAATTCCAAGAAAATGGAATTAATTCATTCACACGGAAAACTTGGGGGAAAGGGAAATCCAAACCCGTGGGATTAAATCCTAATGGGAATGATCCCAAAGGATTAAATCCATGCAGGAATGATCCCAAATCCCGCCGGGAACGGTTCCAGCAGGAGCAGCCGGACCGGACCGGACCGGACCGGACCGGGCAGCTCCGACCCAGATCAGCCCCTGAGTCACCGAACCGGCACCGGCACCGGGACCTCATCCCTGCCCCCGGCACCGGCTGCTCCCGCGGTACCGGGCCCTGTCCCTGCTCCGGTACCGGGCCCTGCCCCAGTCCCGATCCGGCCGATCCCGGTGCTGTTTCCCCCGGTCCCGCTCCCGGCCCATCCCGGTGCTGTTTCCCCCGGTCCCGCTCCCGGCCCATCCCGGTGCTGTTTTCCCCTGACCTCGGTCCCGTCCGGCTCTGCCGCGAGTCCCGGCCCTCCCCCGGCCCAGCCGCAGCCCCGCCCGCAGAACCGGCTCCGCCAGGCCCCCGGTGCCTCCCCCGCTTCCTCCCGCCGGCCCTCCCTATCTGCGGCCCCAGCGCGGCCTGCGCGGGCGGATAAGGGCGGCGGGGCCCGGCCCCTCCCCGGGCCGCCATCACCTCAGCCGGCCCCGGGCGGAGCCAGCGCGGCCCGGCCCCGGGGCAACCGGCGGGAGGAGCCGGGCCCGGCCCCGCCCACGCCCCGCCTCGCCCAGCCGGGCCGCGCTCTCATTGGCTCCCGTTGGGCGCACGCTGTCTCTTATTCGATATTTTACCCATCAATCAAGGGCAAACCACGCCTCACCCCGCCCACACAGCAGAGGCGAGGCGCGCACCACGGGGACGCGCTGCTGATTGGTCAATGGGCCCGTCAATCGAGCAATAAACCGCGCCTTTACCCTCACCGCTTACTACGTGGGCGGCGCTACTACTGACTCTTCGCGCTGATTGGCTGCAGGGCAGCCAACCCATATTTTTATTGGGCACCGCCGCTGTCAATCATTAGTTTAAAGATTAAAAAAACCCACCCAACGCAGCGCCCCAAGCCTGGGCAGGGGGCGTGGCCGGGCGCGAGGGTGTCCCAAATCTGCCCGGCAACGGGG